TTCAAATCTCGAGTTTTTGAAATACTGAAATAACAAAGTACATTAATAGCGTTCAAATACGAAATTCTCAAATATAAATAACTGAATTCATTAAATTGTTGACACACTGCCCATCAATCACGATGGCCTCCGAAGTCTGCAAATATTGTTAAAATAACGGGGTGAGTATTTCGAAAAAATACTGAGTAGACTCATCGCCGATAATTAATTTACAGAATAATTGAACACACACTTATGCAATATACAACGTGATATCAACATCATCTTTGGTTCATTTTCTTGAAAATCCTAGGCTCTTTAAAATCATAGGCTGTGGGTAGTCTTTCTCGTGCATTTAAAGCACATAAAATATGCATAACATTCTCATCTTATCTCATAAGAGATTCTCTTCTTTTTCATCCAATTAAGCATATAAGTTATGGCAAGCATAACAATATCATATATCTCATATGACATATTCTCTTCTCATGCATTAAAGCATATAATTCACGTAAATTCACATAAGACATGCAATTATAATTTAAACTAATTAATGGTGGCGAGTCTACCTCAAATATTTCGAGTTGCGTGAAAAGTGGAGCGGGAAAATAACTTCAAGCTCCTAATTATTCGTACGTATCGTCTAGTCAAAATAGAAAATAAGTTTGAATTAGTATTCCAAATATTTAAGGTTTTTGAAGTGATAAAATAAAGTTTAGGGACTAAATTGGAAGTTATTGAAACTGAAAATAAAAGTTTAAAGGCTAAAATTTAACTTTTAGAAATTTAGGACTTAATCGAAAATCTATTGAAACTGAAATAAATAACTTGAAGGCTAAATAGCAACTTTTAAAAGTTAGGGACTAAATTGTAAATCTATTAAAGCTGAAAATAAAACTAAAGGCTGAAATAGTAACTTTTAGAAGTTAGGGACTAAATTGACAATGTTACGAAACTGTAAATAAAATTTAGGGCTAAAACAATAACTTTAAATCTTATGGGCTAAAATTGACATTCATTAAAACTAAATAAAGAATTTAGGACTGAAATAAAACACTTTTTTAAAATCTGGGGGCTAGGGGGCAATTTTTCAAAATCAAAATCAATTAAAATTTAAAATCATTCTCCCATTTCTCTCTCTCTGTAAATCGAGAGAGAGAGAGAGAGAGAGAGAGAGAGAGGCGACGGGAGAGGGAAGGGGCTGAGCCCCTTCATTCGACTCCACCACCGGCGAGCGGTGGCAGCGCCACCATTGTGGTGGCGTCGGTAAAGGGGGTGGTGATTGGGGATTTTGGCGCACGGACCGAGGCTAGTCCAAGGCTTGGGTTCGATTTTCATTTAGATTTCTTGGTGGTTCAAGCTCGAGAAATGGGTTAGCAAGTAAGGTATGTTCATGGGTTTTCTTAGTTCTTAAATTATGGGGTGAAATAGGGGCTGCTTGGTGTTGTTTTGGGGCGTGGGAGTGGTGGTTTTTGATGTGGGTTTTGGGGTGTGTTGTTGGCGTGTGATGGGGTTGGTGGAGTTGGCCAAATTGGTGAGGTTTGTGGGTTGGAGTGTCTCGGTTTTGGAGTTGTTGGTGGCTTGAGGTTGTTTGCAGTCAGTTTTAGGTGGCTTGGTGGTTAGTGGAGGTCACGGTTTTTGGGCAGTGATGGTGCAAGCTTGGGTTTGCAGTCGGGTTGGTAAAGTTGGGTGGTGAGCTTGGTGTTGGTGTTTTGATTTCTCAGCTCGTGTGTGTGTTGAACTAGGTTTGAGGCTGCTGCTGAGTGGAATGGTGGTGTTGGTGAAATGTGCTGCATTGGGCGGTTCGAGCTTGGTTGAGCTCGATTCTTTGGTGACCATGGAGGTGGTGTTGAGAAATGAATTGGTTTGAGTTTCTTGAGATTGCAGCTCGTGTGTGTGCTTGCAGCTGGGGAGTTCACTGTTGATGTTGGAAATGAATGTTCTAGCATCAATGGTAACTCATAGTGAAATGGAATGGTGATAGGAAGATTGTGTTGATGCTAGAAATTGATGTTCTAGCATCAACATTGATCTCCAACACTTGAGGAAAAATAGAGAAAGCTTACCAAAAAAAAAAATGGCTGCTAGAATGCTACGGTAGTGATGGTGGTGGGAAATGAGGGTGATTAAAAATAGAAAGTTTTAGGGCACAATTCCCTAGGTTGTCTAATGGGCCAAACAGTTAGGCTTAAATTGAAATGGGCTAAATAATTTGGGATTTAGACTATTAAATATTGGGCTCTAAATATTTGGACTTGAAATTATTAAAATTGGATCCAAATAAAATAAATCGGAGTTGACACTAAAATATTCGATATTGGATTCGATTCGAAATAATTTAAATTCGTTTACAACGGCTAGACGAACGCGCTATCTCTTTAAAATTAGGGTTTAAGTCGAGCGAAACGTTTCTCAAGAAACCTAATTTTATATTATTTAAAAGTTCTCGGTCGCTACAACCTTAACTCCTTAAAATAATTTCGTTCTCGAAATTTAAACTTACTGGATCTAAAATATCTGGATACTTAACCAGAATTTCTTCCTCTTTCTCCCAGGTAGTTTCATCGCTATCATGTCTACCCCATTGGACTTTGATTAGAGGAATCTCTTTATTTCTTAAGACATGGACTTTTCTCTCTACAATGCACATATGTATCTCCTCATAAGACAGATTCCTCTGAATCGATATAATCTGAAAATTTACCAAATTACTCGGGTCATGGATATATTTTCTCAATAAGGAAATGTGGAAAACGTTGTGTACGGCCGATAACTCTGGTGGTAACGCCAAACGATAAGCCACGTTACCTACTCGGTTGGGTCGGGCTTTTGTTTTATTGGGTTGTTAGAGCACATTCTTTAATTTCATATCTCAAAGATTAAGTATGATCAATTTCAAAATGGGAAAATTAGCTCAAACCCTACATATAAACTATACATTTCAAAATTCATGTTGAAAAGTTTTTTATACAAAAATCAGGTGTTAATTTAATTTTTTTAGTACTATAATATTAAAATCCTAATTTCATCACTTCCGTCTCTCACACTCTCTCTCATTTTCACCTCATTTCCCTCTCCCTCTCTTTCTCTCTCCTTTTCTGTCGCCTCCCTCCAAGACCACCATTGTCGTCCCCGATGCAGTCATTCGTCATCTTCCCCTCCATCTTTCCCTAGCCTCTCATCTCTCCCTCCCCTTTCTTTGTCCTCTCGCAAAGGCAACGTCGCAACACTCGACGACTGATGCAGGCGACGGCTCACGGCGCAACGGCAGTTCGTCGCAGCTACAGTGGCGATCCTTTTGCTGCACGGACGGTGTTTTTGTTGTAGTAAATCTGGTGGTTGGGTGGTGTGGTGTTTTGTGTGGTGGTGGTGGCGCAACTGTGGATGTGATTTTGTAGTGAAAATGGTGATTTTGTTGGTGGTTTTGTTCGTGAGGAGGAGGAGGAGGAGCTTATGACAACCTTCAGTCAGTTGCAGATCTGCCTTTTCCTCCTGCAAGCTGCTGCAGATCTGTCTTTTCTCTCTTCTCTCACTTCTCTGACTTCGAAGCTGACAGCCAACGACAAAAGAGATGCGGTGGAGGGGTGTGTGTGATTGGCAGCGCTGCACGTGATCTGTGAAGAAGCTGTGCATCCCACTTTTTCTCCTCTCTATCGCAAACGTGGCGGCGTTGCTGATCTGTAAAGAAGCCCTGCGGCACTGCACGTGATCTGTGAAAAAGCCGTGCAGGTTGTTATTAGTAGGTTACAAAATGGTGGTGGTGGTGGCGGCGGTCGCGGCGTAAGGGTGGTCACAGATGGTGGTCTTGGTCATGTTACTGGCGTTGGCGGGGTGATGGTGGTCACAGTTGGTGGTGGCAATGGCGATTGCGGTGGTCCGTTTTGTTGATTGTTTTCCAATTTGTAGTATTTTGGATATGATTTTCCGGTGC